AAAATATATTATATTATATATTTTTATCTGTATAAGAAGATGTATAGAAAATAATATTTATTGAAATTTCTCGTTGCAATATTGCTATTGTTTGTTGTAAAACGAACAAGAATAACTGATTTAAAAAAGGGATTAAATGTAGCTATTAAAAGCTTCATCAATTTTCCATCCATAGAAAAATATCCATTTTCGTTAACAAAGAATATTCCCAAACCAAAATCGCTTTAAAACACTATATACATACTCGGATCTCTAAATCCCGAAATCAATACCCGATCTAATTAGTCATTAAACCAGTTTCATCAAAGGCTTACCGTCAATAGAATTAACTAGTTAGAACTGGAAATAAGCAAACATACGCAACCATACTAGTTTTACCCTCCAATAGATAATTACTCGAAGAACTAATTTGTTCACGGTGTCAGCGAAAATCATTTTTGAACCTAACAGAGTATCTATGATCCTCAGATTTTATATCCTACATTAACCATAAACCATTTTTCACTGCTTTCACCAAAAATTATAAAATATTCTCCTCTTTTCCACCCCTTGTTTCACAATAATTCTTCCCTCCGTATACACACGTTTGTATTTCAGGTTCTAAATTGATAAATATTTACAGCAATGAAACACGTTTTCTGGATTTACCGTAGCAAGTCTGCTGTTCATTAGCGATGGTTGCAAGGGGTCGCAAATAAATGAAACGAAGCTAATTACAGGGGTTGCGATCTCCCGGACCGAAGTTCCCCTGCGGCATCCCGAAAAGGGCTTCGAATGTCGATTAATGTAGAATGTTGTTCTCCGAGCAGCCAGTTGGATGGATTACGCGAGTGACCGTAGGAACCCCGCGAAATGCGCACAATTGGTTGGAAATGTAGGTCGTCTGAAATACCACACAGTGTTTCGCGACCCGAAAATTCTATAGGCGCCACCCCTTCCTCCGGTTTGCCATTTTTTCCCTTTTTTTCTTCCTTTCTTTAGCCGACCGATCGTTGAGCAACGAAAACAGGCCTGCTGGTCAATTATTTCTCTTAGATGCCTTGAATTCCTCGTGATGGTTCCAATGGAACTATATTCTAAAGTATAAAATAATTGAAATAAATTGGAATAAGATTTGAAGATTGATTTAGAAAAGTTAACTTAGAATAGTGGTAGTAAATGATTAGGGAATTGGTTTATTTGTGTACTTTTATTCTGGAAAATTATATTTCCGATAATTAGAAAATTAATTTGTTCGCAAACTTCCAATGAAGGGGTGTAAATAAGTAGAGAATATTAAATACAATCAGAAAGTTAATTTGTTCATAAACTTGTAGTTCAGGGTGTTAAATAGTTTGAAAATTAATTTCGAAAATTAGGGAATTCAAATTTAATTTATTCACCTCCAATCTAAGAATTAAAAAATTAATTTCTTATCATAATTAAAATAATTCCTCTATGACGAATATTTCATTTTTCAATCCACTTTGTTATTATTCTATAATCGAAAAGTTAATTTATTAATAAACTGTTAGTTCAGGGTGTCAAACAGTCGGAAAATTAATTTCGAAAATTAGGGAATTTTTTAATTTTGAATTCAGTTCAAATTATTAATTTATTCACTTCCAATCTTAGAATTAAAAAATTAATTTTGAAATTGATTTTATTATCGTTTCTTATTTATTATCATAATTAAAATAATTCCTCTGTGACCAATATTTCATTTTTCAATCCACTTTGTTATTATTCTATGATCAAAAAGTTAGTTTATTAATAAACTGTTAGTTCAGGCTGTTAAACAGTTAGAAAATTAATTTCGAAAATTAGGGAATTTTTTAATTTTGAATTCAGTTCAAATTATTAATCTATTCACTTCCAATCTTAGAATTAAAAAATTAATTTTGAGATTGATTTTATTATCGTTTCTTATTTATTATCGTAATTAAAATAATTCCTCTTCAACCTTTATTTCAATTTTTAACACATTTTCTAATTATTCTGTAATATAATGTACTACAGTTGATCTCATTTGATCCATCATTCGATCACAACGAAATACCAAAATGTTAGGCAAAAATTCAAGTTGAAATCAGGCAAAACAAACATGTATCAATCCACCCATCCTCATCTTCCACCCTCCATCAATCCACCAGACATATACTACATGGTACATCCCTAACACCCCTAACACCGCTAACACCGCATCAACCATCCACCCCTCGGCCACCCCTGGATTCTACTGTGCTCGAACCTTTTTCCCCTGCGAAATATTTAACAAACCGAAAACGAGACGTTACAAAGGGGTAGCGAAAGCAGGTAACGGAAACGGCAGTCAGAAAAGCCGCGAAAGTGGGTTAAAGGGGTAGGCCAGCTTCGCTGCAGCGAGCGAATGCGAATATAAACGCGAGAGGATCGCCAGAGAGAGAGAAAGAGTAAGAGAGAAAAAGAGAGAGAGGGATGAAGGGTGGTTAGAAATGAAACGGGGTGATAGAAGATAAGGACGAGTGAATAGAAGCAAGACGTTCGTGACGACGTCATCTAGAGACCAGAGGAAGAAAGGAAAGCCAGGCGAAATCTTTCTT